ATATAGCCTACAATACGTCACAGAGTTTTTACTTCACTTTCAGAAAGTGCATTTTCCATATTTGCATTCCTAGGTTTTTTTTTTTTTTTTTAAACAAGTCCAATGTCAACTCCACATTGGCAGATCAGCTATTTACAAATGCTGAATTGTCCATAAAGGAATCACACTTGTAACACTAACAATTCCATTAGGAGATCAAAGTCATATCCATGATTGTCAAAATATATCGTTTACTTCCAGAAGACTATGTTTTTTTTTTTTTGTTGGATTTTGTCTTTCGTGGTTCGTGCATATGTATCAGGTTTGCAGGAACGTTTATTGTTATGAAATGTATTACTTCAAGTAAAGTAATGGCCACTGCAGCACTTGGCATGTATATACTTTTTCCCAAAGAGAGCGATACCATTATCAGCTACTATATCTACATACTCATTAGGGCTTTTCATGGTTATATGTCTTATTCTTGAGGTTAAATATATGGTTTTATTGTCCGTCACTGTTCAGAAAAATAGTTTTTTGGCAAAACGTCCCAGTAACAATTTTGTTTTCTTGCGGAAAATATCTGATTTCATTAGTTCCAATTTTTCTTGTATCTACACTCGAACTGGAAGCCTCCATGAAAAGATCTAATCTTATTTAGATTTCTTCTCTTAGTCTCTTCTAAAGGACCAAGCTAACCTGACCATCCGCAGAGAAGAGAGGGCAAGCACCTGCCGCAGTACCCAACGGAACGACTCTCCCCGCGCACCATCACGAGGCCAGGAACCACTTATCTCCAGGAACAACCGAACCACAGATACCTCGTCCTTTCCATGAACACAACTGCATTCACGCGTTCCCGACGTGGTGGGAGCCGAGCCGAATCCCGCACATATAAAAAAGCATTGCGATTCCTAAGAGCAGATGTGCGTTGTCTTCTTGTACTTGCACGTCTTGCACTTGACGACGCAGCACCACTGGAAAGTACAGGAGCACCTCTCGTGGACTTCGATGACGCGGGTGTGGTACTCGCGGCCGCAGCACATGAGGTCGCAGCCGTCGACGCCGATGCTCGTCTTGTTGCACTCTCTGCCGTGGGTTCCCTTGATGCCTGGCGGGGGTAGAGGGGCATTAGGGGGGCAGGAAGGAGGGTGAGATGGATAGACTTTCTCTGAGAGAGATATATAGTGGGGGAAAATCTAATCGCTTTGTCTATAGAGTCTGAATACATAGTTTAAAAAATATGATAGAGGAATAAAAGATGATCACAGGACTCACCCAGTTTTCGATCCCTGACGCAGAAGTCCGGCGAGTCCTCGAGGTACACGAGGTCCTTCTTGGAGGGCGGCTTGTGGTCCGGGTTGTAGGGCTTCAGCAGCGCGAAGGACTTTCTCCTCCTCCGCCGGGTGTTCTTCCTCCGTCTGTTCCGCTGCCGGTTGTTGGAGGCGCGGGCGTTGCCGGCGTTCTTGACCGACACTCGGGAGGCGCCGTCGAATCGGTCCTGAGGAGGCGAGGGAGGAAGGAAGTGGGCGTCAGCGTCGCTAAGGGCAAGGGGGATGCGTGCTCTTCCCGTGATAGGAAACTAATGGGCTTATGAAGTGTGTTTACATACAATCAAAGTTCGTTCTCTCGTCAGCGAAGGAGAAATGGGTGGAAATATAAAATGTGTCGGAGAAACGGGAGAAGATGAAGATAAAACGAATCCTTGAAAATAGCAAAATACTAACGACACTCCCCGAGGTCTCCACTAACACTGTGGCATAAGCCGATACACTCCCGACATCTTGTTTGTTTACATAATGAAACTTTATTCCCGGGGGAGTAACGACGGCTCTTGATCCCCAGCTGGAGCACACTTGACCCCTGGGTGTGCGGGTCAGGGCTTCACGAAGGGGATCTATCATGACACACCCACCAGTTTCGACACACGGGGGAGGTCACGGGGTCGAGCAAAGCTTTAATGAACCGCGGATCGACTACCCAGATGTGGAACAGTGGAGCGACGGTCGAAACTCTGAACCCCAAGGACTCGTAGTAGGATCGCCGTTGCGGGAAAGGGGTTATTTAAGGGGTTGGGGGGGGGGAGGGCAGAGTAAGAGAGGGTGTAAGAGGAATGATGTCAAAGTAACTTCTCCGTCTTGATATGTGAACACCGAAAAGGAAGCAATTCCTGAACGAAATTATATATTCAACCAAAATTAATTGGTGTGTGTGTTTCTGTGTGCGTATGTGTGCGTATCTACATGCGTGTGTGAGTATTGTATTGTGTATTTGTTTGTATATAGATATATACGTTGGTATCTATACATATACGTCTTTATCCTACGTATTGGTACGAGCACACATACCTAGAAATCTATATTTGCATCCATATAAACAATATAACCAGCTCTTCATGACCCACCTTGAGGGCGTCGCCGACTCGTCTGAAGTAGGGGAGTCTCCACCAGCAGGTCTTGACGGTGCAGGAGCCTGACATCCCGTGGCACTTGCACTCCTTCCGCATCTCGCTCTTCACGTGCTGAGGGAGAGAAGGGCGGCGTGAGAGGGAGTGGAATTGGTCCTTCTTCGGCATCGCCAATTTGCGGCAAATAGTGGTCGGTGGTGAGGATTGTTATGATCGTTATTATTGGTATTGCTGTTATTGATATTATCATCATTATTAGTATCATTATTATATATTTATGGTTATTATCATTATATCATTTTATCTTATTATTTTTTTTATCGTTATTATTATTTTTTTCATCGTTATTAATATTATAATCGCTATCATTTTTTACAATCACATCATCCTCATTAGCATCATCATTATTATCAATCTAATGCTTATCATTCTTACCATTATCATCATCTTTCTAAGCCTTACAGGACCACCATAATAATGAGTGAACATTACGTCGTTAGTAGCATAATTAATGACATCCTTGATAGCGAAAGAGCCTAACGTTATAAGACCCGAGATCCTCAGCGGAGACTCACTCCCGCGTCCTCCCTCATTTCCTCCGCGCCCCCAGGACCACGCTGAGGAGCCCATGAGCGGATTTGCGGACAAGCGCCTTCCATTGTCCCAGAAGAAGCAAGAGTAAACACCCAGAGTCACGTGTGAAGGAAGAAGAAAAGAAGGAAAGAATGAAAGGAAAAAAAAAGAGAGAATCCGAGGTCGTGCCTGAAGGAAGAATACACATTCCTTTTCCCACAAGGAAGGGAGATGAAGAGATACAACTTGAGCAAATTAAGGATGCTGAGCTGACAGCGTAGACGGCGCCCCCGGCCAAGAGGCCACACACGCCACCGACGGAAACAAAAGTTATGCAAATGAAACGCCCTGAGAAGAGAAGCAGAAAAAAGAGCGTTGACTTCATGCTCTCGCGGTCGTCGAGTTCCTAAATAGATATTCCTCATCGGCCAAAAACACCGCTGACTGCGCCCTCGTCCCCCGCCACAACGGTCCTTCTCTCGCTCCCTCCGCGGTCTCTCCCTCGATCGGGGAGCACCTGAAGGCCCTCCCAGTCCCCGACGCGACAGGGCATCCTCCTCCTCCTCCAGGCATCGAGTCCTCCGCCAGCCTGGTAGAGTCCCTCGAGAAGGTCCCCGGGGCGGCGAAGGGCCAGCGGCAGGAGATCACTTTCTCGCGTGATGTACAGGTAGTGGGGGCGGCGTCCTGGCCCGACCGCGGTGTGCAGAGGCGGAGGAGGAGGCGGAGGGAGAAGGAGGGAAAGAGCGGAGGGCGACGGGCAGCAGGGCGGAGGTGGAAGGGGAGGCAGGAGGCGGCAGGAAGGTGGTGTTAAGTGACAGGGAGGTGGAGGGAGATGGCAGGAGCTTGCCCCGGGGGACTTAGAGGGTAGCAGAAGGGTCCATGTTTTGCGGGTCTGATAGCATGACGGACGGGCTGTGGGTGGCCCTAGACCCACCCTCTCTCGCGAGAAAACCAACCGGCGATTCCTCCTCGTCTGCCTCCCGGCCCGCCCTTCCTCGCAGCACCGAGGGCCTCTCGCTCGTAGCCGCGGAGGCGATTAATAGCTCCCGTTCCGCCCGCCGCCCGTCCCCCGTCCCCGGCCCACCTGTTCACACACGCCTTCCGCCCGCCCGTCAGATCGAGTGACGTCCCTGCCCGTCGAGGCGTCACCCGCGGCCGGCGGAGGACGACGCCCGGCCACCCAGGTCCTCGCGAGAAGGCCGGCTAATCAACGGCGCGGCGGCCCTCCCATTACGACGTCAGCCGGGTTGTCAGTCACCGGGGCCTCCATCCTCTCCTCATTCTTCTCGATTGATGAGTCTTTTTCATTATTATTCAGCCTCGATCGCGAGGTTTTCGGCCTCTCGCTCCCCGTTTCATTTCGCATTGCAATCGCCCAGAGCCCCGTCGGCTTAATTGCTCTCTCGAGAGTCTTTGTGCTCGTCCGGTCGGGCCATCCGCGCCGCAGGGGAAAAGTTTCGCATTTTTATTCCCAAGTTTATCATCGTCTGGATTAGCCCGATGCTCAGCCTTCCAGTTCTCACTCCCCGCCCGTGTTGACTACGCCATCGACGCGGTAATGACACAGGTGGTGGTGCCTCCCCGCCTTCCTCCCCCTCCCTTCCCCACCCTCCCTCTCGCTTCCTCCTCCTCTATCCCTCCATCCCTCCTCCCTCCTCCTCCTCCCCCTCTATCCACCATTCCTCCATCCCTCCTCCTCCTCCCCCCTCTCCCCTCCTCCCCCTTCTATCCCTTCCCTCCCTCCTCCCCCTCCCCATCCACCATTCCTCCATCCCCTCCTCTCTCCTCCCCATCCCTCCCCCACCCCCTTCCTCCCCCCTCCCCCCTCCTCCCGGCCTGTGATTGAGATGTAGCGGATGAGCTTTGATGCAATTTATTGAACATCACGCTTAACGCCCCTCGAACCAGGGAGACATGCGAACCCGTGTGTGTATGTGAGTCTGCGTGTGTGTTCTGGCCGATGGCTTCAAGCGCTTTCTTTTCTTCTCGGGCTGTGTGTGTGTGTGTGTGGGTGAATGCTGCGGCGGAGGCTGTTTTTCTCTTGTTTCTTTGCTGTTCTCTCTCTCTTTCTTTCTTTCTCTGTTTCTCGTTCTTTGGTTTTTTTTTTCGCTTTCTCTCTCTCTCGTTTTCGTTTTTTTTCTCTCTATTTCTGTCTCTCTCTCTCTCTCTCTCTCTCTCTCTCTCTCTCTCTCTCTCTTCTCTCTCTCTCTCTCTCTCTCTCTCTCTCTCTCTCTCTCTTCCTCTCTCCCTTCTCTCTCCACACTGCATTTAGTCTATAGTGTAATCATAATAAAAACAATACTCTTCACTTATAATACTGTGTAGAAGGGTCTTAAATATTCCGAATGAAGTTTTAACATCACGCGCAAAATATTGAAGAATTTCTCCATCTCTTCGGTGTTGGGCAAGTTCGCTAATATTCTTCTCTTTCGGTAGGACAATTTTTATAGTCGTTTTTATGCGCAGTCCATGTCGTTTCAGCGGAAAACTTAATTCTGGCATTAATTATCATCTCCTTTATTAGGGTCCTTTTAATTATTTGCCTGCTGAGCACTGCAGTTAGGGTCTCAGTTTTTTTTTTTTCTCTCTCTCTCGTTCTCTGTCTCTAAATCTTTCTCTCTCTCTCTCTCTCTCTCTCTCTCTCTCTCTCTCTCTCTCTCTCTCTCTCTCTCTCTCTCTCTCTCTCTCTCTCTCTCTCTCTCTCTCTCTCTCTCTCGTTCTCTTCTCTCTTCTCTCTCTCTCTCTCTCTCTCTCTCTCTCTCTCTCTCTCTCTCTCTCTCTCTCTCTCTCTCCTCTCTCTCTCTCTCTCTCTCCCTCTCCCTCTCTCTCCTCTCCCTCTCTCCCTCACCCTCACCCTCTCTCACCCTCCTTCTCTCTCCCTCTCCCCTCCTCTTCCCTCTCCCTCTTCCTCTCCCTCTCCCTCTCCCTCCCTTCTCCCTCTTCCCCCTTCTCTCCCCCTCCTATGCCTTTAATCTTAACTCATGTAACTGGTTGATATTTCAGGCAATTGCTGTGTAAGATCACGTCTGCGGAGCGATAACGTGGGCCTGGATTCCTCCCTGTTGCTAGAGAGGCATCTGGCCTATTCTGAGAATGCTAGAAGTTGCAATTTGTGGTTTAATAAGCGACGTGCAGATTAGAAATGACATTGCTTATTAGCGTAAGTGAAATTGTAGTGAAAATCGTTATCACTATTGGCATCATTTGTACAACTGCTGTTGAGACTATGAGACTACTCATGCTACTTGTACTATTGCTACTATTCGTGTTTTTTCGTTTTATTTATCTTTTGCATATATTCTTCTATTTGTTATTTTCTAATCTGTTTACTTATTCATTCATTTATGAATTCATGTATTTTGGTATTCCTGTTAATATAACTGTTACCACTTCTACTGCCTGTACCATTCCCCTTTTTTCGCTTTTTATTCTATCTATTCTATTTTTTATTGTTATTTTTGTCATTGTTATTCGTACCTATTTCTATTTACTTTTATATTCATTCATTTTTGCTGCTATTGTTGATAATCACTAATGTGTTTCTTCTCGTTCTTGATATATTTTTGCACTTTAAAATAACTATTTTAGGATCGAATATTCTGAATACAGCTCTGAATTCTACGCGTTCTCGAGAAGATTTCATATCAAAGACCACAAAATACTGTCGCACGAACTCAGATTGCGAAAGAAATTTTATGTAAATTCCTATTTTGACTTTAATTTACCTGTCATTATCCCATTTTCAGAAAGATACGACCTACTTTTATATCCAATATAATGCCTTACCTTGTATCTATAATGTAAGGCATCGCTTATCATGTTTTTGTTTTGTTTTTATATTTTTCTTCACCCTCTCTCTTTCTCTTCGTTGTTTTCTCTGTCTCTCTCTCTCTGTCTGGCAAGTTGGTTGTCTTTGTATATCTGCCTGTCTGCCTGTCTGTCTTCTCTTTCTCTCTCTCTCTCTCTCTCTCTCTCTCTCTCTCTCTCTCTCTCTCTCTCTCTCTCTCTCTCTCTCTCTCTCTCTCTCTCTCTCTCTCTCTCTCTCTCTCTCTCTCTCCTCTTTTTATTCGTCTCTCTCCTTTCCACCCTCAAAATAGACCTATCTTTTTATTAATTTATGTATTATCATTATTAATTATCATCATTATTATTATCATTATTATTATTATTATCATTATATCATAATCATTCATTATATATTATTATTATTTATTATATCATTATCATTATTATTATTATTATTTCATTATTATTATATTATTATTATTATTATATTATATTATTATTATTATTATTATTATTATTATTATTATTATTATTATTATTATTATTATTATTATTATTATTATTATTTATTATTATTATTTTTATCATTATTATTATTATATCATTATTATTATTATTATTATCATTATCATTATTATTATTATCATTAATTATTATCACTATCATCATTTTAGTTTTGATATCGAAATTCTTTGCAGCTTGATGGCAAGAGAGGAAATTTGATAAGTAAAGAATTAAAATTAGATTTTTAGAAA